GGGAAAAATCTGAGCTTTCTAAGAAGGCTTGGGCCACCTCAGAAACCCTTGGAGATATAAGCAGTACTTGTTGAGCTCCAACTTAAACTTGAACCTATAAAAACTCAAGAGGAGAAGACCCAGAGGCTGCCTCAGAGGCACTCATCCACAAGTTGGGAGCTATATTTAAAATGGCAGCTTAAAATGACAGTTATGTCAAGAGCTGATGGACTGTGGCCAAGAGCTACCTTGTGTGATACCATCTACAAGTGATCAAGAAAATATTTGCAAAGAAGGAAGAAGGAAAATATTTCCATTTTTAGTCTATATTCAGGATGTTAGAGGGAAGAGAGGATAAGTGCCTAAGGCAAGCAGAGCTGGGTTTAGTCCCACTTTGACCATTTACTGCCATATCGTCTTGGGTGCCATATTTCAATAAGCCTGAGCCCTCAGGTCTCACTTCTGTACAGTGAAAATAATGAATAAAAATGACATGCCTGGACAAGTCTAATACTCCTCTCAACACCATTAGATTCAGTCATATCAAAATGGAACTTTCCAGCCTAGGAGAAAAGCCACTCAGTACCCTGCTAAGCCACCACTGAGCAGGAGACATTGCTGCATTTTCTTCTTTGAATTTAACCAGAGTATTTTGTTGCTAACGTGTGAAAATAATTGGCACTCATAACTTTGTAAATGACCAAGCTGGGGTAAACTGAGGTCAAAGCCAAATATTGGATCTGAATCAAACCACCCAAAAGCAATACTGCAGAGAATTTAACGGGGTTACAAAGACCAGTGTACGGACTGAGAGCTCCGGTCGTCCTAGCAACCTTTTAAGCAAACACTGGTGCAGATTTGCTGGCATATATGACACCGAGAACATCTGGTCTTTCTATCATCCTCTCACAAGCAAAATATGATGTCGTGTAAACTGATCTTTAGGCCAATTATATGGTCTAAGTGTTACAGTGTTTGTGTTGGCTCCTCTGGCTTCAGGTTTTAAGAACTTAATTTGTAGCCACACCCCTCCCTGAAGTCCTAATTACATCTTACTGTAACTGACCCCAAGGATTTGTTTATGCCAAGTCTGCACCTTCCTTCAGGACAGTAAGTATGTGTAAATGCATCATCAGTCAACTGTGTGTGCAAAGCATGGTGGGAGGTCCTATAAGAATCAGTTACAGGAGTTTCGTGCAATGAGAAGGTAGAGAGAGTACATAAGAGAGCAGGGTCTGGGGACTGCTCTGGTCACATGCTCAATGCTACATTTTTCCTCTGTATACCAGCTTTGTTATGGAAGCCAGGTGTGGAGTATGGAGGCTCTAGTCTGCAGCTCACTTAGAAGGCACTAACTAGGAGTCAGAAAACCTGATACTACCTCCCACTGGCCTTCCTACCCTAGACAAGGTCATTATTGTGTCTGAGCATCTGTTTCTCCATCTAGGCTCAACTTCTTTTACAAACTCCATGTGGCAGTCACTGTTCCAAGGCCTTCATCTACACTGATTAAGTTAATCCTCATAATGACTCTAAGTGGCAGGCAGTATTATTATCCCCACCCAATGTCACACAGTGGGGGCATGACAGAGATTGTGAGCTTGCCGCTCACCCTGCCCCAGCTGCTTCCTAAGAGCTCTGGGCTTCTGTGCTCAGCTCTAATGGACTAGGGTCTCTAACGAACCATAGCCCCGTGCTCTGGAACAGGAGACCTGTGGGTGCACCTGGACTGTTACTGACCACAGGAAAGGGGCTTCTTGCCTCTCTCCCTCCCCAGCCCACCCCATCCTTCTGTTGCTGTGACCAAGAGGCCATGGCAGCAGCTGATGGGGCTGACCTAGGAAGGTCTTTCTCCCACCTCGCTCCAACCCTCACCCTCACAGCCGTCAGATAGATGTGAGGGACCATCTTTTATTCTTTGGATCCTTTCACGCCTTTTTGAAGACATCTGGGGATCCTACTCTGGGTTATGAACAGAAGTATTGGTAGAAGAAGGCTGGGAGCTCCTGATCTTGTCTCTGGACAAAACAGCCTCTGGTAAATATGTTAGCATTACAGTGTATGAAATAAGTAAATAGGCCTCTGAATTAACATGGTTCCTCTCTCTACCGAAGCCCCCTACCCCATCACCGACCCCTAAATGGAGGAAGGAAGCCATGGGATGGCCAGCCCTTAAGGAAATCTGAAGCCTTATGGGGACTTGACTCCAGGCACCAGCAGCACCATCTTCAGGACCAGAATTTTCCTTCATCTTTAGAGGAAATGAATCTCTTGAGTTTCTTTGTCTGACTTAGCATGTCTAGGAACAAAGGGCAGAATATGTAGTACAGTAAATCCCAACTCTGAGTTGTCCATTACAGGAATTTAACACAGATGGTAATCATTAAGGCTTTAACATTCTTGAAGGAAAGAGCTTTATCCAGAATTATAAATAAACTATTCCCAAGACTTAGGTTTATAAAGCTGTGCTAAAAAACAAAAATCAAGTGAATAAAATTTAAAGATCTTATTGGCTTTATTTAACAATTCATGAATCAGGCTGTATCACATCTAGCAAACAGAAAGGAACTCCGAGAAGCTGTACAAAATGGGAGACTTTTATAGGCAGAAGCGGGCAGGGAAAGGGAAAGAGTGAGTTACCTCATCTTTCTTTCAGGGACAAAGGGGTCTATCAGGCAGATTACCTCATTAATGCTAACCAGGAAATTTCAGATTGACGGGTTTAAGATTACATTTCTGGGAAAGTTTGAAACTGTAATTAGGCTAGATACTGAGTTCTGGTTTGCTGGCATAGGGCTTAGCACAGGTAACTCCATTTGGGGCCCGTTATTTCTCTTCTTTTTTTTTAACAGCTGTTAGAGAGGGTTGCTCGGACAACTGGGAATTTACAGCACTGGGTTACAAAGTCTATGTAACTTGTGAAAGTTTGGCATTGATCTGGGAATTCTGGGTAATGCCAAGAGAAGATGGGAACTTCTTTTCTGCAGTTAGTGGGCACCAGTCAGAACCTAACAAGGTTAGGTCCTGGTTTAAGCTCATGAAATGGAAACTCCAGGGAAATAGGGTACCAGCATCTAAATACGACATCGTAATTCCTAAACCAGTAGTGGAGCAACAGCATGCAAAACTAGGATGCTGCCTTCCAGAAGTCTCTCATCTTTGCAGGAAGGCAAGGCATTTGCCAATCAAACAACTAGAGTTGGTAGGTTTCTGTGTGTGGCATAGACTGTAACTAGAGAATGCAGGGACGGAAGCAAAGGATACATGGAGGCTGGAGTCATCGGGGAGAGATGCGTGGAGGGAAGGGACTGACATAGGACTTGGATGAGTGGGGTGCGCACGTGTAAGGCAAGAGTTTCTCAGCCTCCACACCTCCCACAAACATGCACTGCATCCCTGCTGTGACTCCGGGCCTGAGCCAAGTCTCAAATTACACACTTGTGTCTCCTACAGGTGATTGTGCATTAAATTCCAGACTCGCCCTCTTCATTCCCCCTGGGCCTTCTTCCAAAAGCCTCAAGAGGGAAACTCCAGCCTGTCTGGACATATCCCATCTGGGGCAGGTGCCACAGGATGGGCATCCATCCTGGAGGGTGAAGCCAGGGAAAAAACCCACATGCCAGCCCCAGCCCCAGTGTAGCACTGTATCAAGTTAGGATGAGCAGGAGAGGGAGAGGGGGACATGGCAGCCTCAAAGGCATGATCCCCACCCCCCCCCCCAGCCTCCGTGTGGCAAGATTCTGCAGGCATCCAGGACATATGGTTGACGGGACAATAAGATGCCCTGCAGGCACAGGAAATTTGAGGGGAAGCTAGGACCCCACAAGGATGGTCCACATCCTGCCCAGGCAGTACAGGAGGGTCTGATGGGAAAAGTGAAGGGAGCACAGGCACCAGAAGGAGAACATCATCTGTTGGGAGTGCAGGGCGCACAGGACTAACTTTGAAGCACCAAGAGGTGACATCACAGAGGAGAAAGGGCTACATCAGGCTGGCTGCAGATTTTAGACTCTCTAAAGGCTGCTGTAGGGGCTCGAGGAGGAAAGCAGAATTCAAGGTAGATGTCTGCTTGGCAATAAAATGTCCCCAGAACCGAAGGGTGCCTGAGCAGGTGCAGCAGTATCTGGAAGAAGAGGGACTGCCACAGCCAGAGCAAGGGCAGGATACATTGTTCATTACAGAGCTCTGGGGAAGGCAGGGGCATGGAAGGCAAAGCTGTACCAGCTGGTGTCTTATTCACATCAGTAGGGAGAGCTTCCTCCTTAATTCACTACCCAGAACCAATGGTTGAAGGGAGCAGACGTTGATGAGGAGAGGCAAATGCATGAGCGCCCCTGAGAATCACCCCAGTTTGCCATATTTGTGACAATGCAGGTCATGGATTGATTCAGCACGCTTGAAGTACAGTAGAGGAGAAGCTCATGTTGCTAACCTTCTACTGCCTCCAGGAGTGTAACTGAAATCAGTTGAAACAAGTTCCCTTCATTTAAAAAAAAAAATTAGGGAACGCTCCATAGAAGACATTAGAATGTAGCAGGAAGAATAGAGGTTCTGGAGCCTACTGGGGATTCCAGTCACCAACCCCACCTCTTCGTGGTTGTGTGGCCTTGGGAAAATGATGTAATCTTTTTGAGCCTCAGTTTCCTCATCTATGAAATGGAACATCTGATAAAAGTACCTGGCTGGAAAGGCTGGTGAAGAGATTAAATTTGATGACCTCTGTACATAGCTTGACCCCATGCATCCCATCCAGTTAAGGTCAGTCCCCTCTTCTTCTTCCTCTTTGAGAGAGAGATTCCAATAAAATGAATTTTGACAAACAATTTTACACACAGTGAGCCCAGAAAAAAGAAACGAGGAGTTTATTTGTTGTCAAGTTCTGTGCTGTGCCAGTAGAGCACCACCATAAACATCGTGTCTGCTTTCTCCATATTTCTTTCAAGCTGCCCACCATGCTTCCCATCTGCCCTGCTGTAAACAGCAAGCATCAGCTCACATCTTTCTCTCTGATTCTCTTACAGGGGCGCTGTATCAACTTCACCAGAGTCAAGAACAATCAGCCGGCCAAGTACCCCCTCAACAACGCCTACCACACCACCTTGCCGCCTCCTGCCCCCATTTACACACCGCCACCCCCTGCTCCCCATTGCCCTCCCCCACCCCCCAGTGCTCCCACCCCTCCAATTCCATCCCCACCTTCTACCCTTCCCCCTCCTCCTCAGGCTCCACCTCCAAACAGGGCACCACCCCCCTCCCGACCTCCTCCCAGGCCTTCTGTCTAGAACCCAAAGTTCATGCTCTGGGCTCTTAAAAACTTTGGGGAGGAGGCTCCTCTGTGGTGTTAGAATAAGTCTTTCCAGTTAGGGGAGGCTTCCGCTTTGGAAATGAGTGGTGATAAAGCCCACTGATCTTCACACACCTTAAAAATTGGTTTGTAATGCCAATACATCGACAATTGTGATCAGCAGAAAGAAACAGAAATTTTTGAGATGCCTCTAAACAAATAATGAGGCAACTACAGTCACAATTATAGCCAGCCAGCCATCACCTCTAGAAGGTTCCAGAGACAGTGAAACTGCTGACATGCTCTAAATGGGATTGTGTCTCATGGAGACCAATAAGAAAATCATTTCTCTGAGGGTGAAATGCAGAGTCAGGTGGATGAGAAATAACATTGCTGGGTTTTGAAATGCTGCCTTCCCTCCCCCAATCCACCTCCATCACTTGACCCCCTGGACCCTTGGCATAGGAACCAAGGAATCCTCACCCAAGAAAGTGAAAACCCTTTGCCTACAACTTTGGGAAAAGCTTGGGTCTCCATTGTGGCAAGAAACTCAACCTCAGACAGGTATCTGACAGGTATCTGAACAAAAGCATGTTCGTCTGGGATTTGCAGAGGAATAAAAACATATGCCTTATTTTCCTTTCAAATTCTCCCAGTTTCCAAGTGAGGGAGAGAGCAGGTGTTTACAGATGGAAAAAGGTATGTTGCCACGTTGCTGTGTAAGTGAAATCAGGTGTGTGCATTGACAGGCGAGTACTGATGAGAGCATCAGACAGTTTCTAAACCCACAGGCCGTCAGCAGCTAGGGGTGGCTGGCTTTGGCCCGACACGGTCCCCTAAATCAATAGACATGGCATTGTTGAAGAGCAATCTGTTAATGATTCATCTTAAAAATCAAGATTGGCCTTCAGTTTAAATCACTTAAGATATGAAGAAGTGGCTGATCCCATTTTCTAGAGATAAGCATGAGTTGATCTTCCCAAAATAGCATCACTAGCACCTACCATACAATTTTGCTGGGTTTTTTTTTTTCTTTCTTTTTTAGTAAAGGTGTATATGGGAGATTTCTAATACAACTGAGAGACAAGGGTCGTAACATAGTATGGAAACCATCCCCACATTCTTTAATTAACTGCAAAACAAGCCATGTATGTGTAGATGCAAATATGTTTCTCCTTGGCTTTTCAACATACTCATAAATATCAGCTGTCAACCCTGAAGGAATACACTAGATATTCTGCCTGAAATTCCCACGAGACCTGGGATCCACCCCATTCCTCCAAGTCTATCTGAATCTGTTGTCATTGGTAAACCCTATAATCACTTTCTAAACATTGGGCTTCATCAACCAGGGTAAAAACAGAGGGCCATTGTTGAGGGCCTCCTGTACCATCCCATTCAAAATTATCTTCCCCTCCAGCTTTCCACGGGTACTGAAATTCCTCTCCCAAAGTGCTCAAAGTCTTAAATCTTTTCTGGAACAAAGCAGAATATAAAGTAAATATAAACCTAGCACTTTGGGTTATGGTCTCCAAAGATCCTTTAAGAATCCATTAAGCCAGACTGAATCTTGCACCTTACTTAGAGACATAAGGACCTGGCACGCATTCCATAAAAAACAATTCTTTTAGCCATGGCAGACATTACTTATCAATCACAGCACCATCCATAAAGCCCAACAATTTCTTCACAATCCTCTGATCACAACTCCAAAGAGTTGCCATTCATCAGTCAGAATTGAGAGGGAGATAAGTCCTACTTAACATCCCCACTTTAGAAAGCAGAAAGAAACTAGAATTGCATGGAGGAATGAGGAACCCTTGGGCATAAAAGATGCAACCAGGGGAAAACAGATCTAGGCAGAGTGCCTTAGTGGGGGACCACAGGCACTAAATCTTCAGTGCTAATGCCAAACTGACACTTCTCCAGGCATACTTCAGACCAGCCCTTCTCCCAACCTGCCACTTCCTAAGAATCTCCCAGCCATCTCCTAGAGCTAAAATCAGAGATGGTTTCCAGGACTTATGAAAGCAATCTCCCTTTGCCATCCCCTCAACCCAGCCTGTATTGTCTATTTTTAGAACACTAGGCTACTTCTTTAGTATAGTCCCTCATGAAGCAGAGGCCAGAATGTCTCAGCCAACTGCAGTGACATTGCTGGACTCCAGAAAACCATTCCATGGGAGAATGGGTTCCCCAGGCTCACAGTCTAGAGACGTTGAGCCCATGGCAACTGTTTTGACTGCTGGCAGTACAAAACGGTCCACCCCACACCACTAGCCCCATGACTCACTGCGTCCATAAGAAAGTTCAAGCCAAGATGCTGACATCGTACAAGATGGCGGACATTAAGTGAAAATGCAACATTCAGGATCTCAACAGCACATCAGTCGGAAGCCCTGTGCAGTTTCCACGATGCTTTGGTGAACTTTTTGATGAATAGGGAACTGCAAATATATGATGATTTTGAGGAAGATTAGTAGGGTTTGTCCTTGAAACTGACTCATCATATCATCCCTACTCTTTTAGAATTACAGTTGAGAAGGTGGAACTTCTAGACTGTATGAACAAGGCAATAGTAGGCTAGTACAGACAAGAAAATTCTTTAACTGGTTTATAAAATCTATCAGTACTTGTATCATTCCCTGTCAAAGGCAGCAGACATATGATTGTGATCAGGAAACTGCACAAAACTATTGTTTCAACCCCATGTTATTGTCCTTGTGAAGTTTTTTTTTTTTAATAAAAGCCAACTTTTTGTTGTATATATTCGTATTCCATGTGTTAGATGGAAGCATTTCCTATCCAGTGTGAATAAAAAAGAACAGTTGTAGTAAATTATTATAAAGCCAGTGATATTTCATGGCAGGTTATTCTACCAAGCTGTGCTTGTTGGTTTTTCCCATGACTGTATTGCTTTTTGAAATGTACAAATAGTTACCGAAATGACGAGACCCTTGTTTGCACAGCATTAATAAGAACCTTGAGTTCTGTGGTCCCCTCTTTTGAACACCAGCTCATAAGCAGTTTCTAGCCTGGAGCTTTGCACGTACTCCAGTGAGACTGGAAAAGCTCTCACTTTTACCAAGATCAAGAACAGAGCTGGTGGACAAATTAATTAATATTCTTGGATATCTGGCCATGGGTAACTTCATTGTAAATATCACTAAAATGGGCAGAGATGATTTTAATGCCTCTGAAACACGAGAGTCCAAACACTGTCAGAAGAGAAAAGCCTACCAAAGAACTAGGAAAAAAATAATTATCATTCTGAGATAGTGAGCAAGTTTCAGCCCAGTGCCAACTCAGTAAAAACAATTAATGCTGTGTAAAATGGGTTGAATTCGCTTGCAAACTATATGAAGATATATGCAGTAAAAAGCCTGTTAATGCACACAGATGAGAATGAGGTGTTCTAGTCAATTGCCTTTTCTAGTTATCTGTGCTCTACTATATTATCATACTTGGATAACCAATTTAAAACAATTAGAATATGATTTTTTAAATACACTTAACATTAAACTCTTCCTCTAATTCTTTCTTCTTTCTGTGATAATTCAGAAGACAGTTATGGGTCTTCAGTGAGTCATTGTTATAAAAAAAAATGAGTTATCACTGTCCCATGCTATAAGAGACTGGGCTAACCTGCACAATGACAAACTCTGGAAGTTGCTTTTTTTAAAAAAATGATAATAATAAAATCCTAAAATCATCTCTTTTACTGGTTATTTGTCTCTTTGTTATAAAAATAAAGTGTAGACTGTTCAACTACTTAACATCTTGATGATAATAAAATGACTTGTTATGCAAATTATATTTCTGAAATCATTATTATATTTCCACAAAGTTCTTTACTGTCTTGATTATTGTGATTTTTTTTTCCTCTTAGCTATCCAACATTCAAAATATTCTTTACTTCTTTTTTTTTAATGTGTATTTATTTTTGAGAGAGAGAGAGAGGGCGAGAGGGGCGGGGCAGAGAGAGAGAGGGGAACAGAGGATCCAAGGAGGGCTCTGTCCTGACAGCAGAGAGCCCAGCATGGGGCTCAAACTCACAAACCCTGAGATCATGACCTGGGCTGGAAATCAGACATTTAACTGACTGAGCCACCCAGGCACCCCTACTTTATTTCTAGTAACAGTTTTAAACGTTAAAAAGGAATCCAAGCCAAATGAAAGTGTAAAAAGTGGAGACGAAGAAGCACACAGAAAAAAATGTACTGGGTCAGTCAGGATTGTGTCTAGCTGCCTGTAACAAGATTTGTGGCCATGGCCGATTTGATTCTCCGAGCAAGGACTCCAGAGGTTTGCAGATGCTCAAGAAACCAGGCAGCATTACAGATAGTGCTGCAGTAAATACCTTTCCTTCCGTATACATCTCAAAATATTTTTTATTATATCTGCAATTCTGATACAAACCACTTGTTTCTTAGCATCTTCAATTCAGCTCCTTCATTTAACTTTTGGTGTATGTAACAGTGTCTCTTGCTAGTTCCTGAATTTATTTTTTTTTTATAAGTCCTCTTTCAGCCCTGAATTCATCTTAATTGGAATAAAACCATCTGCAAACAGAAAACCATCCCACAACTTTTTCCAAGATTGCAATAGTATTTACTTTTTCATAGCTTTTTGGGCACATGCACATTTTAAAATTACATTCTTAATCATTAAATGGTTTTGAGATAACCGGCTAGCAATTTGGAAGGAAAAAGAAAACTTGGAGCCCTACCTTACTCCTTAACACCAAAATTAACTTCAGCTGTATTTAATTTAAGTGTAACAAATAAATAAGGAAAGTACTAGAAGTGGAAAAAATGTTTACTGTATGATATGAAGGATTTTTAAATCCTGTATATTGCCTACGTTACCAACCAACTTTCTCATGAAATCGCTTCAACTCCCCTGAGGAATGCTCCAATGCATTACGCTGCACAAACAACAGAAATAAGGTCATTGATCAGGTGCTGACTGTGAACTTAAGCAGATCTACAATTTTTCACCGCTAAATCCAAAGTTCTGCCCTCAGATAAATGTTTCTCTGGAGCCTCATTTAGGTAGAGAACAACCAGTACAACACTCTGTCCCTCTAAATACATTGCAAACAAGGTCTAAGTGCTTCAATTACCAAACATCGGATATAAGGCTATAGAGTTGGCATCCGCAAAACAGATGAGTTTACTCTGATTACAACTGTTGTGTTACTTTAGTCTGATTACAGCTGTATTGTGTTGGCTTGAACCACCACATCCTCATCAAATTTATACCTAAACAAATTAGAAGCCTTATAATTCCACCGGGTGTAATCTCTGATTCTTCCCTTTTTTATGCAACATTCAAATGGTCAATTATATAGATTCTTCAACTCTACTAAAAATGGGACCATTTTAATTGTTGGAGGTCAAAACTGTGCAACATCTCCTTTATTTAGTTTTAAATATCATTTCACAATATATTTACAAGACAGCAGCTAACAAAGCTCTGCCTAAGTCACCTGAGAGCTCAAAACAAAGTTCTGTTAAAAGATGTTCAATTAATTGTGTACATTCAGTACCTTAACTGGCATCTTTAGTTGCTAGTTGCTTATAAACATTAAAATAAATGCAACTTGTAAAAGACATTCTTCTTTGTGTAGTGAAGTGGTTTACATTCTTGCAAAACATTTTAAAGTTTATTTATTTATTATTTTT